AACAGTACAGTTAACTAAACAAGATTTGAACAAGAATGCCAACATTCATGCTAAAGTAGAAAAGGGAAATCTCATGGGGCCCCATGAAAAACAATTTGCTATAAGCCAACTAAGGAATATTGTGAGAGATCATACACATAAGGAATGCTGTGAGAGATCATTCACAGACACGGTATATTTTATACGTGTGTGTGTGTGTGTGTGCATGTGTGTGTGTGTGTGTGTGTGTGTGTGTGTGTGTGTGTGTGTGTAGTTGAGGCTTTGAGAGACAATGGGATAGGGCTTGAAAAAGGTTTGAGGGAAGAAATGAAATGGGGGAAATGATATAAATTTATTTAAATATTACAAGCAAATTCAAAAGTTAAATGGAATTCCACTGAAGCCATGATATCAGTACTTTTAGGGCATCATCTAGGTGTCTTCCAGACAAATTAGAACTGGCCAACTGCAGCAGGAGGGAGTCCCAGTGTGTCTCAAAGCCTTAGAGTAGCTTCACGTTGCCGTGTAAAGAAAAGATTGAAACAGCCACTTCAGAGGGATGTGGTAGGAGGTGCGAAATTAAGATTGACACATAACAATAGATAGAGGAATAACACACTGATATCCATTTATCTATCTTTGGGTCAAAATGTTCACTGGAGAAAAAGTATAATTTAATCATTAGAGTCAATGGTGTCAGCATCAAGTGCTCACACTTCAAGCCCTGTCTTTTCATCAAGCAAGTTGTAGTTGTCTTTTAAATTAGTTTTATTTATTTATTTATTTTTGTACTTCATAGGTAGGATCGTCAGAATGCCACAAGAGCTTTTTTTATGATGATAAAACAGAAAATTACTCATAAAATATTTAACACCCGGAATGTCACGATGATAGTGTTAATGAAACCTCTATGGTGATATTTATGATACATCACATACTACAGGTCAGGATCTGCAGGTGTTAAGTCAGTATTTCAAAATAGATTATGGCCATTGCCACCTTGGTTGTGTCCTGAAGGTAAGACCCTGGTGCTGAAGATACTACAGACTTCAGGAATGGAACTTGCAGGAGGGGATATGGAACTGCTGTAGAGGGCTTCTTCTTGAAGGCTCATTCTCATAGTATCTGAAGTTGGTAAGCAAGCTACTGAGAGAGAAAGACAATCAGTATTCCTTCCCGTATTTAAAAACAAACAAACAAACAAAAATCTATAAACTAAAATGATGACTCAAATGGCAAGATATCTCCAAGCCTTCCATAGTGGCACTTACAATTTGGAAGTAAGCAACAGTCATCTGACTGTACTTTAGTGCCACTCAATGGGAGGGAATTCATGCTTAGTGCTGTTAACCTAACAATCTAACCATGTTTTTTGAGGTCATGAACCCTAGAGGAGGACCTATTTCTTCCATTTTCCTAAATCAGTATAATTTCTAACTAATCTAAATTCTTACACTTACTGATAAGTGTAATGCTCACCCATCATCAAAGAAGCATCTGTTTCTAACAGACTGGTAAAATTACAGAAGTCTACAAGAAGTCAATATGCAGAGAAGAATTGACTGGAGTTTCCAATGCCAAATGATACATCCACAATATAAAACCTACACCAAAGGCTCGGAGAAGCTCATGGAAGAGGCATAGACATATTGTCAACACCAGAGGATCAGGATATTTCCCATGAGGCAGTGTTTTCTATACATGACAAATGAGCTGTATCCACGATATGTCTAAAACGCAGTCTCCTAAATTAGACCTGCAGAATGACAGCCCCAGGCTCTGGGCTGACATGAAAATGGAAATCCCACAAGCCCCCACCAGCAGATAAAGAGCTGTGAGCAATCAGTCAATGGATGCTAAGAGAAAGAGATTCAGTCTTCTCTAGGACAACTTCCCTGATGTCATCCAAACCCAAGTGGTCAGCCCTAAGCTCATACATAGAAGAACAAAACTGAATGGACTCAGCGGACTGTATTTACATGTATGTGTGTGTGTGTGTGTGTGTGTGTGTGTGTATAAAAAAATAATAATTATTAAAGAAGAAGCAGTCATGAATTTTAGGAATGGGTGGACATGGAAAGAGCTGGAGAGGAAAGAAGGAGGACTGGGAATGATATAAATACAAGACTCACATACTAAAAAAAAGTCAAAATATAAAAAAAATAAAAATGAAGCCGGGTGGTGGTGGCACACACCTTTATTCCCAGCACTTGGGAGGCAGAGCCAGGCAGATCTCTGTGAGTTTGAGGCCAGCATATTCTATCTAGTGAGCTCCAGGACAGGTACCAACCAAAACTACACAGAGAAACTCTGTCTTGAAAAAAATAAAAACAAAAAAAATATAAAAATGAGAACTTAACGCATCTTAAATATAGTATGCTATTATTATTATGTTAATATTGGAAATATATTTTGAAATAATATTATCATTTTTTTTTTTTTGGTTTTTCGAGATAGGGTTTCTCTGTGTAGCTTTGCGCCTTTCCTGGGTCTCACTCTGTAGACCAGGCTGGCCTTGAACTCACAAAGATCTGCCTGCCTCTGCCTCCTGAGTGCTGGGATTAAAGGCGTTCGACACCACTGCCCGGCTATCAAAATGTTTTAAGTGTTAAGAGGATAATGTAATGCAGCCATGTGAGTGAGTAATCCAAGTCATGTGAGTGATGTGCTATATGTAGCAGAAGCTAAAATTTGTTAAATAGTTAATGTTAAAGTATGACAAACATTATTGTTTTTTTTTTATACTTGTCTAAGTATAATTCTAAAAAGTGAAGTATTTTACTCAGTAAAATTATCTGGATGTGGATGATAAACTTTTTTTATAGAGGGTTTTGTGAAAACAACCAATTTATTTAATATAAAAGTTTTTCTTAATGAGGAAATCTGTTGAATTAATGTATTTTTTTAAAACATAATACAATAGTGAGAGAAATAGTTAATATTTGAGTATAATTTTCAGACATGGATTTAAGTAAGTAATATTTTATATCTTTTTGTGTTGAACGCAGCTCTGTTGTGTGCCTATTGTACACACATTAAGGATGAGAAAATAGAAGTATATGGAGGTTAAAATAATTTGTTTAAGTACAAAAGATCTAAAACAGATTGTGTTGTTTCTTCGAAAAGTAACATAAAAAGTAGCGTTCACTGTATGAGGACTCCAAGAGCTACTAAAATCTGAAGAGACTGTGAAGACTCTTACAGGCTGAAGACATTGTTCAGAAGCATAAACATCAATTTAAGCAGTTTCAGAAAATGAGTGATGTTTCTGATATGTTTTAGAAGGCAATATTGGCATCACTGAACAAGAAAATGTGTGTGTGTGTGAGTGTGTGTGTGTGTGTGTGTGTGTGCCTGTGCTTTTATCTGTGTATGTTCACCTGTGTGTATCTGTACTTGTGTTTGTGTGTGTGCCTGTGTATTTGTGTGTGTGTGTGTGTGTGTGTGTGTGTTTGTGTGTGTGTGCATATGCACACATGGCAGACAGAGTCCATCTTCACATGTTCTTCTCTTCAGGTGTTCTTCCCTTTTGTTTCTGAGACAAAAATCGCTAGCATGAGGTTCACCTATTTGTTATTCTGCCTGGCCAACAACACTTATCAGAGATCTTCCTGCCTCTTCCTCTCCAATGCAAATGTTCATGGTTTTCACATGGGTTCTGGGCTCCTAACAGGTTCTCTTGTTTGCATCACAAGCAATATATATCCTACCTTTATTTCAGTAGCTACTCACCTTATATACCTTTTATGTCTACATAATTAATACTGTACTTGAAGTAGACTCTGTAATCTCTAGGCAAAAGACACTTCCTGCCTCCTTCAGTTATCATCTTAATCTATAAGCTAAAACAAAAACGTCCAAGACTGGGTGATTTATGAATAAAGATGTATTTCTTACGGATTCTGGAAAAGCATTGGCTGTTTCCAGTGTCTGGTAAGGAGTGCCCTTGACTTCCCTGATGCCTCATTCTGGTGGAGTGGAGAAACTCTTCACATAGTGAAAGATGGAAGAGCTGAAGATTATCACCACTGCTTGAAGCCTATTTTATAAGGGCCCATTTTACAAGGGAGCAATTGCATTTTAGTTACCTCTAAAGGCTCCACATTTAAATAACACTATTTTGGCAATACCACAATACTGAAAGGAATATGTTCAAATCCCAGCAACATGGAGCTGGTTATCTCCTTCCTTGAGAGTATGAAAGATAACATGTCATATAGGTTCCTATGATTATTAATTGTTTTATTTCAAGGACTATTTTCCACAAGAGCAGAGGTCTTGTTGATTTTTAAATTGCACTCTATTTCCAGTATCTTATCCACAATAAACATTTGATGAATTTATGATATATGAATTGATAGGAGACCATGCAATCACATTGTACATAAGAAAATGTCAATAAAAATTACTGATTAAAATTGCCAAAGAAAGATTGTTGTAGATAAAAGTTAATTACAAATAATGTGTCTTCATATCCACATTTGTTAAGTTAGAGTCATAATGCAAAAATATAAAAGTAATAATTAATATATTAAATAACTAAATTATGTCATGATAGGAAATCAAAGGATGACTAGGTGACTTGTGATCAACATTTATTTTCTTGTTGTTTAGCCATTTTGAGCTGATGGATTTTTTTGACATATTGTTAGGCAAATCTTACATGAGCTAGAAATCATGTAGGTCAATAGGCATTGAGATACGTACTTAAAAAAACAAGAAAGCAAGCAAAAAAATAAAAATCCGAGTCCTGTTAATACTGACCACTAACATCTGTTAAATCCAATAGGAAATATCTTTGGAAGTGAATATGTGAAATATAGAGGCAGATCTATTTTATCATGTCAAATAACATATTAACATGTTAGTGAGATGCTACAGAAATAAAAAGACCTTTCACTTTCCTATGAAAAATATCCCTTCTTTATTGTTAAACTATACAATAAATATTTTTTCCTTTTCAATTAAGACTTTATTTTCGAAACATTTTGGAATCATAATTTGTATTACACACTTTCTTTAAATTTATACATAAATGCTTCACGAATTTATGGGTCAACCTTGCGCAGGGGCCATGCTAATCTTCTCTGTATCGTTCCAATTTTAGCATATGTGCTAGGCCCTCTGCATACGGGAGACAGTTGTGTAGCTTGATCGGTCTGAGGGGCCGCTGGCAGTGGCATCAGGATCTATCCCTGATGCTTAAACTGACTTTACCTATGGTAGGATGCCTTGCTCAGTCTTGATGCAGCAGGAAGGTGTTTGGTCCTGCCTCAACTGAATATACCGCACTTTGAAGACTCCCCATGGCAGGCCTTCCTCTTTTGGAGGAGGGGATGTGTGATGCATGGCAGGGGGTGAGGGCAGCTGGAGGGGAGCAGGAGAAGGGATGAGAGGGATATATGCGATCGGTATGCAAAAATGAATAAAAAATTAACTAAAAAAATTATGCATAAAATTCTGAATAAGAAGACTCCAAATTAGAATTGAATTTATAGTAGGAAGCATCAAGCCCAGGCTATTATATCTCCATCAACAAACCGATGAGACACTGATATTTCAGCCTTCTCCCCTAACTATCCTCTTTCAAATCTTTGAAAGAAAGCCTCATTCTGTCAAACTTTGATGTTAAAATCTACTGAAGTTACTAAGGAGGCTCCCTTTCCTTTCTCTCTCTCCTTTGTGTTCATGGTTTGTTTATGTCTGTATACTTTCTGGTGACTGAAAGCCTGCTGTTTGCCTTGCCACTCCAAACAATGCACTCACATAGGGATGACCTACATAGGGAGATCTGAATCATTTCTTCATCCTACCTCTTTAATCTTCCTAACAGTAGTTTTAAAATGAAAACATAATAATCTGTCACAATAAGGATGGCAGATTCTCAAATTTAGCCTTATTCCACCCTGAAGTGTAGAATGATATTTGAATTTCAAAGGGAATTTCCCCAGGAAAGTCAAGTAGTTCAGGCTGAAAAGTAAACAAAAGAAACATGTAAGAACAGTTTGGATACTCTTAATAAACCTGAAAGAAAATGTGGTGTTCAAAGAATCAGGCATGGACAATAATTTGAAATGAAATCATTTTTATATTTGTGCTTAGTTTTCACCTGCCCCAGGGACTCTTTTGTCAGAAGAGAATGTTGTTTGAAATAAGTAAAGCATCCAAGAAGAGAATACTTCTTTACCTTATGGCAGTTTTGCTAATCCACAAAATAAAACCATTCCTAGAGCAAAAAGAAAAAGAATCTGGCTTCTAAAAATCAACATTTTTATTATTTGCCTAACAAATGTTGAACATTACAGTTAAATACTATGTTCTCTTTTTTGATAATTTATTCTAATTGCACCACAAATATGAACAGGTTATATTAGTTGTACCTGGTCACAGAGACCATACAAATGTTTTAAAATACTCAATTTGAAGGACAACAGTACTTATTTTAATATTAAACAGTCATGTAATTCTCCCAGTCTCTGTCTCTTTCTCTCTGGTTTCTTTCCCTCTCCTTCTCGCTCTTTCCCTCATCAAATAGATTAAATAAGATACTCTCAGAGAAGACTGATATTCATTGGGTTAATTATTTGTTATTGTTGACCCCTGACACTGAAATCTAACTTCAGTTTATCTTGTGACTATTTATATACATCTGTATTTTAACTCATGTACATCTATTAACGTCTCCTCGTTAACATGGTAATGAATCACTGAAGAGATACTCTATTATGTACGGGTGATAACATGTTTTCATTATAAAATTTAAGGTGAAATTATTTCAGAATTAAATGTCACTAATATGTGCCATCTTTATAACACTATAAAGTTTTAAGTAAATATTAAAAATATCATACAACAGAGCTTTGACTGACCTTTAATTTCTTAACATATTTGAAAGTTACACTTGATTTATTTAGCTTCTTATGGATTATTATTACTTTATATAATCATATTTCCTAGAGAAGATTTTATTTTGTAAATTTTCTAAGTTAATCTCAAATTCTATTCATGAAGCATGCTCATTAATTATTTTTATTCTAAGAGCTGGGATGTGAAAAATATGCTACTTGTCAATTGCTATTCAAAGACAGACTACCATATTGTGCATTTCTTCTACTGAAATTGATAATCAGCAATTTGCTTATCCAGTAACCTGTTGGGAAACATCATTGATAGAGAATCATAAATTGATGGAATTGTCACTTGAAATGGTTTATTTTCTCTCATTGGAAGGTAAAAATTTTTGCGTTATGCATGAAACATTTTAAAAGCACCATTAAATCAAGATTACTTACAATATGTCTTGTACCTGATCATCTAATCCAGAGTTTAACTGAAAAACTATAGACTCTAGGAAACACTGGGATGTCTTCCACTTCTGTGCTTAATAAGTAGACTTAGGCTTTATGTGCCTTTGGCACAAGCCTCACTTGACTCATTTCCAAGAGACTGCAATGGCCCCTACTTGTGTCCCTAGCTGCCAATAGCATTGTGAGATGTTTTCAGACGTAAATACTTTTCACCTCACACCTCACATCATTACAGTCTATTTCTATATCTGGCAGAAAGTATCACTTATGTTTAAATTTGTGGATTGTTTCTTGAGATGAGATATCTTACAAAGACCAAAGAAAATTCCCAATGAACCTTCAGTGTGGTCCTCATATTTCCAAGTCAGCAAACACTGGCATTTTTGTTATTAACAATATATTTAATTTGGGAAGGGTGTTGTTATCTTTTCAAATTAGCAAAGCTTTCTGGAGGCTAGGAATGCAGCTCAGTTGTAAGAGTACTTGCAAGCATACACAAAGCCTTGTGTTTTCAGACTCCCTTTTACAATTCTTCCTTTCAACTTCACAAACTAATGCTATGGTGCTTATGGTGGGTTAGTGTGGGTAGTCCTTGGTTAAAAACAACACTTGTAAACTACCCTCCCTCCCTCTCTCTCTCTTTCTTTCTTTTCTTTTTTTTCAGTGATGTCTAAATCCAAAGGATTCTCTGTCCTTTAATGGGGATGATTTTACAGATGGTTAGTTACAAACTGGGTAAAATTTGCCTATTAGTCTTTATAGGATTTCATCTAAGAATATAAGAAATCTGGTAGTCATGACAACTAAAATTATCAATATGCTTTCTACTTATAATTTCCTAACTTTTATAAATTATCAGTAGAGACAAGCCACAGATACTTATAATAGGTAGACAAAATTTTTGAATGAAAAATATATCTATAAAAGCGTTCAATAAAGAATTACAGGTTAGCCAGGCGGTGGTGGTGCATACCTTTATTCCTAGCACTCAGGAAGCAGAGCCATGCGGATCTCTGTGAGTTCGAGGCCAGCCTGGTCTCCAAAGCAAGTTCCAGGAAAGGTACAAAACTACACAAAGAAACCTTGTCTTGAAATACCAAAAAAAATAAAAAAATAAAAAAAAGAATTACAAGTTGTCTAAAGTATAATTATTAAAGGAGAGAAAATGGTGGATACATAACTCATAGCAACTTAAGTGAAAATCTAAAGTTAAAATTAAATGACACATCACTTCATCATACTAATATTATTGTCAGTGAGATAATATGGAAATGCAGTTTACAAGGAAATATTAGACACTCTGAAGATGCATATGGGTTCCTTCTATAATTTTATTTCTGGTAATTAATCTTAAGAGATTATATCAGATGAAGAATTCAATTTTATTCACTGATGCATACATTTTAATATTAATATTAATGGCAAATTTGTTCAATAATTTATTTCAGTAAAAGAACTAAATTATTTGTGCAAGTGTTTGGGGGCTGAAAAAAATCTATACATGAATCCTATCATGAAATAATGTGCCCCTTCTGCTCTTCGAAAAATTGTTTTCTTCTTGTAAAAATGAATTTATTTACTTGTTTGTTTGTTTGTTCATTTATGTATAATTTTGTTTATTTAATTTCTGAGTTCTTCCCATAAAAATGCATGATTAGGCTCCTGACAAAATTTTATTCAATAATATTGATTACATCTTAGAGCAACATTGAAATAGTAAAAGAAGCAATGCAAACAATGAGATAAATAGATGCTTGCCTTCTAAAAATGTATTCCTTTGGTAATATGGAGGGGGTAGGTAGTCCACTTCAACTGGATATCAAAATAATTTCACAGAAGAATGGACAAATAGACATCTATCTCTACCACTATCTATCTACTCTCTCTCTTTTTCTCTGTCTACCTACATATTTATCTATTTCTATCATCTATCTATCTATCTATCTATCTATCTATCTATCTATCTATCTATCTATCTACCTATCTATCTGATATTCATATAGATAGATATAGATATAGATATTGGTATAGATATAGGCAGATATATGGGGGAGAGAGCCTGAAAACTTATCCTGGGTCTTGTAGGATTAATGAGACTCCACTAGGTACTCGTTCCCTGGGTCCAGTGTTAATTACTACAAGAAATAAGGAAGCCAAAATACACTAATTATTCCTTTCTTCCTTCCTGCTCTCCTCTCCTTTCTCCTAATATCTTGTCTTATGGTCACCAAGACTTACTTTTACCTTTACTTTTAGCTTTGTGTGTGGAGGTGCAAAGGCTTTAGCTCAGCTCTATTCCTCACATGCTGCCTTCCATTCCCACCCTGCTCTCTTTAGTATTTTGCCATCTCTCACTTAGGTTTTTATAATTACCTCATTCCAGGACAATCAATCTTCCACATTGCAGCTAGAAGGCTCTTTGTAGAAGATAAAGCTGATCTTATTATTCCATTGCTTAAAAACAAAAAAAAAATAAATAATAAAAATAAAACAACAGAAGCATTCAACAATGTCCCATTGCCTTTGGGGAGAATTCTACGACATGTCTGTCAACTAGCACACTGCTCACCAGGTGACACTGACCTGCCTACTTTGTTCTCTTCTTGCTTTTTCCCTCTTCTTCAAAGTATTATTATTATTTATTAATGTGTCCTTGTTTGCAAAGCCTTTGTCTACTCCACAGGCAAAAATAGTTGAGTTCTCAGATTACAGTCATTTTTTCCCCTTGAATCACTTAGGCACAGCTTTCACTTTTGAGTGTAAATATTCAAAGCTAGACATTGCGTTTCATTCACCTTTTGTTCCTCAATATGTGCATCAACT